CTACAGAAATATGTGGGGGTTGCTCAGGTGAAATGATTGAGCATGTATCCTATGCAGAGGTTCCAAAGATTATCATCCTGGAGTACCCATACTGTAATACTGAAACTAGTCACAAGGTAAAGTTTGTAGTAAATGGAGAAGAAGTTTTACTGAGCCTGAGAGGGATCATATACCATGGGGATAATCATTTCACCTCTAGAGTTTTTTCATATGAAGGTAAAGTTTGGTTCCATAATGGGATAACCACCAAAAATAAGTGTATAGAAGATGGGCAGCTAGATGATAAAAGCAATAATGATCTTAGATACTATCAAGATCAGGAACTTGTTTTGGCTGTATATTCTCAACTTTAAATTAGAACTTTGTCTTGATAAATTTAACATTAAAATAGAATTCTAGATTAATATCTTTATAACATTGAATGCAAGCCACATTGATTTGAAGCAAATGATTATAAAGAATTGTAAATAAATGTCAAATGATTTTGCAATTTTTTAGACATTGTTACTGTAACATTATTCACAATCTCTTGGTTTACATTAATGTGGCTTGCATCCATTGTTGATGAAAATGTTAAAATATGCCTTTTAAAAAAAAAACTTACTCTACATATTTTTCAGCATTGGAGGTCCATGGGAAGGACTCATACATGCCATGCGCAGCACTGGCCCACACCCACAAGTTTTGATTCAAAAAGTGGACATTACCTCAGTTGAAAATATGCCATGTACTCTGAAAATGGTCCCCAACATTGTCATGAACAATGCATATTGTCCCCCATTTGTTCCTGATTTGTCTTCTGTTTTTATCGCTATTTTTCCTTTCAAAAAATGTTTGACAACATCATCAAACCATCAAATCTTATGGGAAGAAAGGCAAGATTCAGTGTTAGAAGTACTGAAAAAATCCTTGAGATCAGAGAGTAACAAACTAGTGTCTTTATAAACTCAGAGGACTCATAACATCATTGCTAACAATGAGCACCATATTCCAACTTTCTCTGATTTTCATGTTATTTTCTGGCAATTGTTGAATAAATTTCCATATAAGGAAATGCACCTGGGACGCTTGAAACAGTCCTAACATCAACATCAACAGTTAGCACCATTCTTCAATTGTTTTCCATTTTTTCTGCCATTTAATTGCTATTTTTCAGTTGGACAAAGGCTGAGTGCCATATATGGAAATTTACCAGAGACCCTGAGAGTGTTTTCAAATGTTGTCACCAACAGTGAGCACCATCAGCCATTTTCGTCTAATTTTTGTGCCAATTTATTGCTACTTCTTCATTTGAAAAAGCTTGCATTAGCTTGATTTTGTGCAAAGATATATCTATTTGTGGACATAGCTTTTATTACATAATATACATAAAAACAAACTGTATTTTTCTTGGTGTTTTATTTCATTTATTTTAGATTTTATGTTGGTGAGCTTCAGATTCTTCTTTGAAAAAGTATGTTTATTTGTACTTTGACCTTATTACATAATGAATTGTATACAGGTATGATCCCTGAAATCTTACATTTTTTCTGCATTTTATTTCATCTGAATTGGACTTGATTTGGTAAAGTTACACATTTTTCTTTAGGCAACGCTTGGAACTCAAGAAGCGATGACGCACGAACATTTCCCGATCGCTTGATGGGGGACAGTTTCGTGCGTCATAGTAGATCTCAGATCAGTTACCATTTTCGGTAATAAATACAGATTCATGTATAACTCAGCGAGTTTTGATCCAAATAACATGATTTCTTTTGTGATGGGTACTCCTCATTTCCGTGGTCATGGTGATGTTACGTTCCTGGTAAACAAACACAAATAAACAGTTGCAAAAACGAAATAGATGATAAATTTTACATCTGATCAATTAAAAGACTATTGATATACAGGTTAAACAGTAACAAATATTCACAAATAAGTGGGAGTCATTTCAATGTTGATTTTGTGATGTTATAGGGTGCACAGAATCTCTAATTGAGCTATAGCATGTATTTCTGAAGTAGATGACATGATCTATTTCCTTTTTAAACAATCTTTGCCACATTATACAAATGCAGGGGGGGCAGATCTCAGGGGGTAAGTTTTAGATCTCATCTCTCATCTCTTGTCCTCTTGGCATCACAGATTCCGATGACAGATGAAACTTCCCCCCATCAAATGATCGGGAAATGTTCGTGCATCATAGAATCTTGAGCATTTGTACTGAGGCTGTGCAACTTTGGTAGTATTCATCATAGATTCCGATGACGCACGAAACTCNCCCCCATCAAAGA